GCATTATTATCATCTGACCAAGTTTCCATAGTTGAATCAAGGCTATTGAAGTTGAGGGTTGCACATAAATAAGGTTAATATAGAATTTGACCTTGTAAAACCCTAGTTCTTGAAGGTTCTACAGAACTGAGCTATATATGAGTTGTAATTGTGTATTCATGTTGTATTCATCTTAATTATCATTTGATCATGTTTGTAATGAAGATACAAGGCTATGGATTTCATTTCTAATTTCGTGGGACACGAAATTCCCATTTTACCCTTAAAATCCTAGTTTTGGCAAAATTAAGACAAGGTGTTTGTATTGATACTTTGAGCTGATTATTCATTCTTATCATGTGTAATAGCTTAAGTATTGTTGTAATACATCTTTTTATATGTATTTGGTGAGCTGTGAGAGCTTGCAGGGTCCAAGAAGGTTTGCTTTGGACAGGGGGAATGCAGAGTGCAGTTAGTGGTGCTAGTGTGTTATCTTGTACAAAGGTATGTGCAGAGAGTAAGACAGATGAGTCTGTAACTACTTCCATGCAACTAGTGGATATTTCATTGGCTAAGGCCAAGAACCAAGGGTTTTCCCTATTGAGAGGGTTTTCCTTATAAATGCACTGAGTACTTATAAGTGTGTGCAAGCTTATTGAATCTGTCATCATTTTTGTCACACTATATTGATCAAACAAAGAAGAAAAGTTTTATACAAGAACCAATTCACCCCCCTCTTGGTTCGTCAGATACTACTATCCATTCAAGCTCACATTACAATAAAGTTGTGAAACTTGGAACCGCACGAATGTCACCACGTGGAGTCCGTGAATCAAATCATAAGCAAGAAGGGATCAATAAGCCACTATAGAGATGACACGTGGTGAGTTCGATGGGAACTTGCCGCACCAGATTAATATTCCAACAACTGGAAAAGAAAACTACATTAAGGGTTGAAAAATAAATGTTACCATGTAGGTGGTTCCACTAAGAAACTCAAGTCTGAAGCGTGAAACAATGTAGATGCTAACACATGGTACTGAAGCCAAGGTCAAGGGTAAGTGAGATCTGGTGAGATGAGAGTCCACCAAAAGGGCACATGCAATATATAATTGTTACATAATGGATATCAGATTATCCATATAAAAGGGTCAAATTATATTTGACTATGTCAAATAAGGAGGTGACCGTCCACTCCTATAAAATCTTCATTTACCGTACAAATAGGAGTTGCTCCTTATACATGGAATAGGTGTGTACACGAGAAAATTAAGACTAGGTTCATTAATAAAGAATTTAGGAGTCTTGAGTCTTGCTAAATTATAGCAAACTGGTTTATGAATTAAATCATGGGTGGCTATTAAAATTAGCGGGGAACGTGTATATATACTTTGGCATATAAACAAAAGAAGTTCTATATGAATACAACTCAGAATTCAAAAGGGAGGAAGATTTATGCACACGAAAAAGAACTGCTAGATCGTGGGACACCTGGCACTGCAGAGACATGCCAGGCGAAAGTTTCCAATTGATAATGAAGTTGCCATTTCCGACTTCAAGGAAGTCATTAAGGATAAGGGACCAGAATCCTCTCCTGTTGAACAGGAGAATCTGTTCCTCCTGTTTTCACTATAGCAGTGGTAAAAAAGGCCAAATAGTACTTTGGGTAAAAAAAAGTACACACACATATATGAACAATACACATACAAAAAATTATACATACATACACGAAATTTTTCCTATTGAAACTCAGATTGAAGAGGCATATTGGAAAATCCAAAACAGATTTAGCGCCTCTTCTAATATTCTTTCTTCTTCTTCTCTCTCCCAGTTTTTCCTCCTTCTTTCCAAATGTACAATTTCTTTCCAAAGGTTTTATTGAACGTCGGCGGAGAAAAGGAAGGCACAATTGCGAATCGGACCTTCTAAATTTCTAATCTTGTTTCTTCTTCTTCTCTCCTGATTTTTCTTCCTTTTTTCCAAATTTACAATTTCTTTCCAAACATTTCATTGAATGTCGGAGAAGAGGATGGTACAGTGACGAAGGTATGTTCTTAATCTGCTTTTTTTTTCTCTCCCTAAATATAGAATGAAATACAATTTGTCTTCCCAAAAAAGTCCCAGCTTTCCTTAATTTTGTTCTTTCCAAAATTACAATTTGTTTGGAAAGGTTTGATTAAACGTGGGGAAGAGGAACCTTTAGTGTTGGAGAAGAGGAAGCTACAGTGACGAAGGTATATTCTTAATCTGCTTTCTTCTTCTCTGCCTCAATATAGAATGAAATAAATTGTCTTCCCAAAAAAGTCCCAGCTTTCCTTAATTTTATTCTTTCAAAAATTACAATTTGTTTGGAAAGGTTTGATTGAACGTGGGGAATAGGAACCTTCAGTGTCGTGTGTTTGGTAATTCTTGAACTGCTATTAAACTGTGAAAAATTAAATGAGAAATTGTGAAAATTATACGATTAAATTGTGTAAAAGTTGTGATATTCTGTATTAGAAGTTATGTTATGTTTTAAACTTCAATTTAAGATGTTAGAATAAAATATTCATTGTATTCTTGTAATGCAGTGTTTTATTCGTGATAAATACTACAATATATTTGGGATATTTTGTATAATAAGAAATGGAGCTTTTACACTTCCAATTTAATATGTTAGAATAAATTTTCCATTGTATGAAATGTAAGTTCCCCTTGACAGTTATGATTGTTCATTATAAATAACTCAAGTTAGTTGTAATGTTTCTCAAAATAAGCCCAAGACCTTCCCATCATTTCCCACTAACTAATGCTCCCACATTTCATCATTCTCAGTTAGACAAGTGTGAAAAGTAAAGAAACAAATAAACAATGAAGTAAAAAAAAAAAAAAAAAATCCTCTTGACTAAATTAGTATATTTCAATATCTTAGAAAGTTTGAAATATATATATATATATATATATATATATATATATCAATAAAAGAGTGAAGGAGAACTAATGCAAATTCTTTTCAGCACAACGTTCTGTTCTTGTTGTTGTAATAGTGAATTGGATTTGAATAGTTGGCTTGTTCATGTCCTTTTGACCCTTTATTTCTATGCTCCCCTGTTTCTTCATCTTTGGGAAGAAGTGGTCAGTGGGATTTGAATTACAAAATTACAAACTCACTGTGTCACTGTGTGTGTGTGTGTGTGTGTGTGTGTGTGAGAGAGAGAGAGAGACAGAGACAAAGAGACAGAGAGAATGGGTTGTCTGGGACTTTAAGTTGCAAAGAAGGCAATGTGTCTCTATCTTTTCTGTCATGGGTTTTAATCGTTGTGAGAGATGGGGGCACTATGCTTGCTACTCCAATACATTTGCCTATGTCTTTGGGTATGTATCTTTCTTTAAAATTAGAGAAATAAAATTTTTATTTTATTTTTTTTTTCTTCTGATTATTCATTAATAATAATGCTATTTGGAGTGTTTTTTCTTTGATCATAATCTTTGGACTCCTTTTCTTATTGTACTTAATTTACTCTGTTATTATCTGTGTGGTAGCTTTTATGATGTTCTCTGGTTATTTATATTATTAGTATTATTCTTATTATTTTTTATGTATTTAGTTTTGAGTTTTGGATTAAAATTTATTCTCTTTTTTGTTCTAGGGTGTTGGTATAGTTATCTTTGGCTAATAACATGTGCACTTTCTACAAATGTTTTAGTTTTTTCCTATTCTCTCTTTAATATTTGTTGGTTGTTGGTTTGTCTTTGTTTGAATTTCTCAAATTAGTTGGGGTGCTGATTGGTTGCATGATTAGCTGCATCACACTACTACTCTTGGTTGCATGACATGGAAATGGTTTTCCAATTTGTATTGTTGTTTCTTCTTATACCCCAAATTTAACATGGTTGTAGTGTTTCTCAAAATAAGCCCAAAGAAGTTTGCAAGTTCATATTTGATTTGGAAAAAGTGAAATGAATAATTGAACACAGTTGTAATTTTTATGAAAATAGAAGGTCCAAAAAGGTTGGAAGTGCATGTTTGACTTGGAAAAAGATAAATAAATCATTTATTTTGTTATTTGTAGCAAAATTAAAATATGTGCAGTTGAGGAAGTTGGTTCCCTGCCCTGATACATTATACTATCTTGAATAATGGTAGTAGGTCAGAAAATATTTTCAATTAATAATCCATACCTACAACACAGCCCTTCGTTCAAATGTAATTTTTATATTTTGTAGGTTTCTGATTTCAATTATTGGAATGGAAGAGGTATTAAATAACATCGAAGACACCACATATACAGAAAACGCTCCTATTGCAGAGGCAGGTGTCGTAGAATGGAAACCAAGAATAGGTATGAAGTTTGAAACTGAGGAAGAGGCATATGATTTCTATAATTCATATGCCGATCGAGTCAGTTTTAGCATCCGCAAAGAGTATTTTAATAAGAGCAAGAAGACTAGTAAACTGTCATCGAGATTGTTAACATGCTGCAAGGAGGGTTTCAGGGGTGACGACATTCGGGACAGTAATATAAAGACTCCCAGGGCTGAAACACAAACTGGTTTCCCTGCTCGAATACTTATACAAGTTTCCAAGTATACGCATAAGTTGGAAGTTACAAAATTTGTTGAAAGCCACAACTATCCATTGATGATTGATGAATGCATGCACATGCTGTCATCCCAGCGTATAATTAGCCATGTTCAGGTCATTAATTTGGAATTGGCTTCTGATTCAAGAATAAGCCCTCGCAATTCATATGAGTTGATGGGAAGGCAAGCTGGTGGAAAACAATCAGTCGGGTACATGAAGTTGGATTTACTAAACCATATAAGGTCCTGAAGACAAACTGAGCTCGAATATGGAGAGGCAGCATGGCTAGTGAATTATTTTGAGACTCAGTCTTGTGAAGATCCATCTTTATTTTATGCATTCCAATTGGATAGTGATCAAATGATCACTAACATATTCTGGGCTGATTTAAAAATGATAGTTGATTATTGAAATTTTAGAGATGTTGTAAGTTTTGACACAACATACAAAGTTGTACATGGCAACCGTCCATTTGGAGGGGTTGAATCATCACCGGGAGACCGCTGTGTTTGGAACAGCGTTCATGTATGACGAGACTGCAGAGTTGTTTGTGTGGTTGTTTGAAACATTTTTGAAATCTATGTCCGGTAAAGCGCCAAAGACGATCTTCACTAATCAAGATGCTGCAATGGGAAAGGCATTGAAGTAGGTGATTTTAATTCAGATCTCCACTCTTTGCATTTTCAAATTTTTATTGAGTAGTTGGACGTGGTACATGTTTTTATGTAGTTATATTACAGAAAATAGTTTTTGCAGGTGATGCCAAGGACAAACCATTATCTGTGTGTTTGGCACCTAATGCAAAATGCACAGAAGCATCTAGGGTTGTTGTTTAGACGTGCGCAAGGCTTTAAGAAGGTGTTATCAAAATTAATATTTGAAATTGAGGAGGAGGAAGAATTTACTAGGGAATGGAATATAATGATAACGGAAAATGGTGTTGTTGGTAACACATGGCTTACAAATCTCTTTGCTTTAAAACATAGATGGGCTATGGCATTTATTAAACATACCTGGTCCGCGGGTATCCACAGCACACAACTGAGTGAAAGCTGCAATGGTTGCTTGAAGGCGTACTTATCCGGGCAACTGATTCTTCCAGATTTCTTCACACACTTTGAAAGGCTGTTGTCCGACAAGCGTTACAAGGAGTATGTAGCCGAGTATGGGTTACTCCACAATCTACCTCAACTGAAAACAAACTGTAACATATTAGTAGAGGTGGCAAGCCTGTACACAAAGGTTATATTTAATATTTTCCAGGATGAGTTCTTAGCAGCTGCTGCTAGTCAGAGGATCATTGGTTGCAGTCCCATCGATGGCAACGGAGGCTATGTTTACAAAGTCGTTGGTGAGGATGGAATGCAATGCGACGTGAGGAGGACAGTAGAAGATGAATTGTTATGTTCTAGTTGTAAATTTGAAAGGGAGGGTATTATGTGTAGGCATAGTTTGAAAATCCTAAAAGACTCCATGTTCACCAATACATTGCCTCGTCGATATATATTAAGAAGGTGGAGTAGAACTGCAAGAGATGGCAGGTTGGAGGAAAATCTTTCCGGTGAAGTGATTGCCGAAACTGATCCAAAAATTGAGGTTAGGAGACGGCACAGGGTACTTTGTCGTATTCTGACTAAAATTTCGTCCATTGTATCGGAGGATAAGGACGGATACAATGATTTATTAGTGAAAGCCATGGAGTGGAAAAAAATTGCCCAATCAAGTTGTAGGCATAGGTTTACTGAGAGGAATGGAATTTATACTGGTGGTAAAGGCAGAAACCAATATGTCGGCATGAACAAAAATACTGACAAAATCCCCAATGGTCTCAAGTGTAAAGATACATGGAAAGGAAAATTTAAGAGGTTAAAACCGACCATGGAGCTAAAGAGTCGCAATAAGACGAAATCAATAAAACAAACAGTTCAGCTTCAGGTACTTTTATCCCCTTACTGTTGTCCAAGTAGTTTCATAAGTAATACCAGTTCTGTGTATTAAATGATGTATACGTAATAATTCTTATAATTGTGTTGTAGAATTGCAATGAAGCCCTTCAATCAGGAGAGGCAGGTGGCAGTAGTCATAGTGGAACAATCCCCTACTACGTGTTAGTGAATGTAAGTATTGTTGCATAACTATTTTCAGCACATTGCTTAACATTTGTTTTATATTATTCCCCCCCCCCCCCCCCTAAATGATAGGTGTGTAACGACCCGATCATTTTCTTCCTTTTCCCTTTTTCTTCAAATTTTGCGGATAAATTTTTTTTTCATTATCTTTTCCTTTTCGGGTTCGATTTCCCGCCTCTCAGTGTCGTCTCGAGTGCTCGAAAATGGTTTCTGAGACTTTTTCCTTTGGATTGACAACTTCCTTTGAGGACCGAGTCATTTGCACATTTTTTTTTTGTTTTTTTGACACTATTCATTTTTTCGTCTTTTCCCTTTTTCATCCTTCAGTCGTTTTTCATTTTTCCTTGTTTAACCTCACTTTTTGTGCTCGGATTTGATTCCGGCTTGGCATACGTCCATGATATTTAAATTGCATGACATCTACATTTTTACTTTTATAGAAATGCATATTAAATGCTTACTTTCTTTGTAAAAGCCATGAAAATAAGACTTTTTGTAATTATCCATAACTTGAGGGGTTTTTGGGTAGTTAAGTAAAGTAATTATTTTTTGTCTTAGGGACCATTTTGCAAATTAAATTGGAAGATATTTTTAAAAAGGACCTTTTTGCAATTTTCAAAAAATGTGACAAGTGTCACATTCCTATGGTGCCACTTGCTGATTTTGTGGTGGAACCACTTGGAGGCTTAATCTCATGACACATGGAGGTTGGAGATTTACCCACTTGTTGTCCTAGGATTGGTGCACTTGTTGGCATGGATGGTTGACAAGTGTAGGGTTAATATTTAATCTTGGAAGCTTACTTGGATTCATGACAAGTGTAGGACTCACCTTTAGTCTTGCATTAGTGTGTGTGTGTGAGAGGTAGTGCAAGAGCACCTAGTGAGTGGAGAAGCCCACCAATTTAGCTTAGGGTTTACATATTTTAATTCATTCATCATTTTCCTCTCAAGAACCCTAAGGAAGCCACCATTGGAGAAAAGCTTGACTAGTAGCTTTGACTTCATTTTTGGTGCCCTTTCACTCACCTTAGAACTTTGAACTTGGAATACTTTTTGTTCCTCTCATCCTCCTCTTCAAAACCCTTGAAGGATCTAGCCTAACTCCTAGTTTTGCTTTGGTATCTAGAGATTCAATTCTCTAGTAAGGTATTGATCTATTATTTTGAAGTATTTTTATGTCATTATTGAGTGTTTTACATGCATGGAAGAGAAGGACTTGTATGTTTCCCTTAAACTATTTTAACTTCAAATTAATCTTGTTAAATTAAACATAGAATATGAAACTATACTCAATTAGCTTTCATTTAGTTTTGGTTTCATGTAATTTGAATTTAAAATGAATTAGTTATGAATTTTTGAAGTTGCAAGCTAGTTGCTGGAAATTTGAAGCTTTTCCTTTCCAGTCCGGAAATGAATTTTTTATATGGAGCTGTGTTGCTTCCATTACCTTGAAATTTTTACTGGAACTTCCTCCATGGGTTTTACACTACTCAGAATTTTTTCACAATTTTAAAGCATTTCTAGATTTTTTTAAAAATCCGAAACTATCTGCTGTCCATGTTTTTATTGTAGCTGGAAAACATATTTTTAGATGATTTATTTCACTAACCTTTTGACATTGCATCATGGCTTAAATTTTTATTTTTACACTCTCATATGTTTACTTCCAAAATAAATTAGGTTTGCCCAATTTGGATGTCAAATGAATTTTTTATGAATTTTCAAAGTTGGAAGCTACAGGCTGAAAATGTGTTTTCTGGGCAGAATTTGTTTCAAAGTTGTGGGTCAAAACTGTTTTAATTGGGAAAATATTTTGCTAAATTAAATTTATATTATCAAACTACAGTGTTTAAGCTTTCATTGGGCTTTGGATTCATTCAATTTGGGTTAGAATTGAATTTTTTATGAATTTTACAAGTTGAAAGTAGCAAGCTAAAAAATCTGTTTTGCGGACCAAAAATTTGGGGCGATTTCATTTTGGTGGTAATTAGGATTTTCATTCCAATTGAGGTAGGGAATGTTTTAGGATTATTTGTGTGTTGTATTGTGTGTTTGCCATGATTATACAACATATATGTATGCCTTGTATCAAATCCAGAAAGCTAGTAATTTTTATTTCTTTGTATAAGATTTAAAATTTATGATGATGTATAACTTTGATTTGAATTGTAACATGTTAGGAAATTATGCTTAGATATGTTGGTTAACATATATTAAATTTGGATCATTTGATTAAGAATTACAACTTTTATTTAATATTTATCTTTAGTGAAAGTTTAATTCACATGGTTGTATCAAGCATTAAATCAAGTTGTAATGTGGTATTTAAATAGGCCTTGGCATGTTCTCTAACATAGATTAAATTGAGGGCATTTGGAATTGTTTAAAAATCTAGAGGAAATTAATTAATTAGCTTGATTAATTTTGTTTCAAGTGTTTTAATCACTTAACTTGTCATTTGATGTTATATATATGATGACCATGATATGTCTTTCAATATATATTAAATTGAGGTTATTTGGATTAACTTAGAATTTAGAGAATTTAACTATTTATGTTTAATTAAATTCTACTTTATTACTCCATGGATTTAATTGCATTTTGGAAGTTGTTTCTATATTTAAATCATGGATTTAGATTTGATGTATGTTCAATTGATTACTTTTGAGCATTGGATAACATAGTTGTTACTTTTATATTTATGAGAATATGTTTTTCCTTATTGAATATATTGTTGCTATGTGCAAGGAATTGCATGCTTTGTATTTGACATCTTACATGCCATAGTACTTGTGAATTTTGAGCATGTATTGTATAAGTTTCCAAAATTTAGATTATGCTTGGTAAATAGTTGATATCTTGTATATACATGTTGATATATAAACGTTGTTGCACAATTTGTTGATTTTGGAAACTTGGAGATGTCGTTGTTTGGCTACGGCTAGGACTTGGTTCTAGTACCGGGGATTGTCCCTCTATACAGTCTAGTACGCACATAAGGAGGTTACCCATGGGCTAGTAACCCTAAAGTAACTATGTTGTCGGTCTGATCCGGCGTGACGTCCGAGTATCCACTTTGTTTGATTTCGTATTTCATTTCAAGTTGATAACTAGATGATATCGTAACTTGTTGTTCCTTATTTGATTTTCTATTTTGAGCTTAAGATGTAACTTTGTGAAAGCATGCTTCATGCGTTGTATTGGAAGTTTCATTGTTGGTTAAATTGCATCGATATCATAATTTGTGTTTTGATGTTCAAATGTAGTTTAGGAATGACCTTATAGATTCATTTTGAACATAGACGTTAGGTGGCATGACCCACACTTGTTGTTTTCGTATTTTGGATTTCAAGTTGAAGACTTTGAGAATCTATATCTTGTTGCCTTGTATAACATGTTTCCATGTTGTTTGAATTGCATGAACAATGTGATTATGATAGAAATGATCTAGGTAGCTTAGGCTGCTCCCTGGGTCTCATTTTGACATAGACGTTAGGTGGCATGAGCCCCTTTAACATGTTTCACCATAAGGTGATAAAATTGTAAAATGCTAGGTCGATGCATGCTCATCTCCTACGAGTAGCTTTATGTTACTCACCCCTACGATACTGGGCATATTTCAGGTACAAGACTCAGGATTTGAAGATTCCATTGCTCCTTGGATGGCTTACAGTTTCTATGTTTTTATTTTATGCAAGTGTTAGCGTAAGATGCCTCTTTGTAGCCTTATTTGTTTAAACTTGTATTCGTTGATTCGTATATGTAAAGTGTACGTAAGTGCACTCTTTTCAATGTATTTAATATGTATGAGATGAGGCCAGAGGCCAATGACATGTATCTCGTTTTCTATGCACTTTTGTTTTCAAAGTTTATTATGAAAATATTGGAAAATGTTAAGTCATTGTTTCATAACTTTCGCATTGGGTGTTGGAATTTCATATCTTTTCTACCCGGACTCAGAATCAGACGATTCTTGAGTCTAATTTTGTTCATTTTTCGTTGTCCTTCCAATGGTGTGCACGGTGGCACCCTTTTTAGTGAGAAATGACCATTTTGCCCTTAGTTCATCTCTTTTCGGGTTAGGCATTCTTGCTTCATTTGCTTAGCTCATTTGAGTTTCGTGGCTTCATGGAGAGTCATTTTGGGGCCTTAGGGATGACGTACATCTCTTGAGGTCATTTGGCTTCTTTTGCTTCCGCATTTCGGGTCCGTTATCAGGTCAACTTCCGGTTCATCACTAACGCACCGGGTTGAGAAATCCGGGTCGTTATAAGGTGTGTATTGAATATAAACAAATAATACATGGAGAGACATGATGTCATACCCTCATGAAAACAAAACATAGTCCTAGAAATGTTTCCCTCTCAAACACCTAAACTACTAAGCAATGGAAAGTTATAAAATGTCTTGGAGATGAACTTCCATCACATCTAAAACCTCCCATAAATTACATTTATCTAAATCCTTAGCTACTCTTGCAATCTTATCATGCAATCTGTTTGAACTTGTTTATAACTTAGGTAACACCTTGCTACCAATGCAAAGGGTTGTTGTTAGAAGAATTCCAGACTAATAACTGGTCTTTGCATAACTAAGACTGAATGAATAGATAATGTAGCTCCACCCCCAGTCCAACATAAGGCAGCCCAATCCACCTCTTCAATTTTCTCTGTCGCAGCTTCCCATGCTGCTTAACATGTTCATTATGGTTAGAAGTTAATATGTGGTCAAATGTTTTACAACATTTATTTTGTACGGCTGTGAAATTCCAGTTGAATTTCTCAGTGAAGAAAGTTATGTGACGCCACCACAACGTGTAATGCATTACAGAAGGTTTTCGTAACCGTCTGCTTAACTAACTACTCCATTAAATAACCAGGCAAGTTTACTGTTAAGGTGGAACCAACATATAAATTGCAATATACAAAGTTCCATAATTCTTTAATTGATTGTTTATAATATATCCTGAAAAATATATAATGTTGCAGACCGTTGTTGCTGATT